TATAAGACCTGTAAACTTATCCTTGGGGAGCTTCTCAACTCGCATTTGTTGCTAACTTGTGGCACTTATGTGTCTTGGTCAACTTTAATAAACCAAACATGAGCCCCTCGAATGGGAGACTTGTGGGTCATGGGTTTGTTGGGGTGGCTTATAGTGCACAAGGGATCATAGGGTATTTACAGAATGTCCAATGGATATACTCTAGTTCCATAGATAACATTCTCTTCCAATGTTTTGAAAGGGACTCCTCATAGGCTTTCTCGAGAAAATAAAACAGTTTTCACTAATTAACCACCCATATTTGGCTTAAAACCTGGGATTAAAAGCATTTATTTTCAATCAGGGGTACTTTTGGAAATTCCAATTTCCTAAATGGAAATTTGTGCACCACATGATGAGGCTCATTAAGAAACATGTGACATAAATTTCGGCCCACGTGCTTGGATGACTGGGCCACAAGGACCCCACATCATGATTGAGGAACGATGGTTCCTCAGCTTTATGGTTGTAGCGTGGGGCCCACTTCATGCCTAGATTGTGCGCAAAGCCCATGGAGGACTTCTATAGCAAGATGGAGTTTTGCGAGTGATTAGTTAGTTTTGATTTGCTTTTTAAAAGCCAAAGTCCTCGTTTGTCAAGAAAAGATAGGATAAATCATATGAAATCTAATCTAGTTAGGACTTCCAGAGTTAGTCATGGAGATTCCTACTAGACCTAGAAGTGCTATGACAAAATCCAATGGGACAATGGGATTGGAAAAAGAATTGGAAATCTATGAATCCCAAGGTGTGATTGTGTTAAAATTCAACCTTCATCCATGATGGCTGGCGACGGGATGGATGGCTAAGATCAGCCCCCTCACCATTGATCTACAAATCCTATAAGAATACCATTTCAGATAATTTCATCTCTACCCCTCTAGACCTCTATATAAAGAGTGCCCCACCCCTTTATGCGAGCACATTCTTTCTTCCCAAAGAGAGGACCACGTAGTAAATAGAAAGGATGGTTAGAAAAGAGAGAGGAATGTGATAAAGAGAGAGAGAGAGATTTTAGGGTTGTTCAAGGTTTTGTACAAAGAGAAAGACTGGTGGTGAGAAAGGGCTGGGCTGGATTTTGGAATCCTTGTCTAATGTGAGAGATCAAAGAAAGAGAGGAAAATCATACAATGTAAATCACCTATTCTTTCTAATTTACTCTAAAATGAGAAAAAAAAAACGAGGTGAATAAGTCTCCTACAAGCTGCGCCATTGATTTGGGGAGATCATATGGGGTAATACCCAATGTTTGAAAATTCGGCCTAGGCGACAAAATGCCTAGGCAGGACCTAGGCAGCTGCCAAGGCGTCCTTGCTCCTAGGCACCCGCATTTGCTGCCTAGGCAGTAACCTCGGCATCTTAGACAGTCGCCTCGAGGCGATGCCTTGGAACAAAGTCGATTAATGGGCAATATCCCTAGAGCTTCCAATTCTAAGAGCAATGTTCACAGTAAAAGAAATAAAAGTCAAGTGAATAAGGTTCAATCTCACACGTGTTGGGACAAGGAAACTATGAATAAATTTGCGATAAAAAATATTAATGAACAAATGAATACTTACACGTGTGCTGTCAAGAATACTATGACTTAGACATGTTGGGCAGAGGAACTATGAATAAACAAATAAATACCTCAATGTGTGCTATTGTTTATCAAAATATAAGGATGGTACTATGTTTATAAAAATATAAGGATGGTACTATAGCCTCTAAAGACAGACCCATATAGAAATTTGTTTTTACACGTGTAAGCTGTTGGACATAAAAAATATTAATAAACACATAGGTTACAAGTGCGATGTCAAAATTTCAACACGTGTATGTAAGTTGTTGGACATGGATGGACATATAAGGCAGTGGTTTATAAAATTATTAGTAAACACATAGACAAATGTCCATCTAAGGCACTTGTTTATAAAAATATTAATAAACAAGTAGACACTTACAAGTGTCCTCTAAAAATTTATATATGTGCAAGTACTTTTTTTTTTTTTTTTTTTGGAAACATACATGTGTAAGTTGTTGGATAGAGATTTACTAAAATATTTATAAACACATAGACACTTGTCCATCTAAGGCAGCTGTTTATAAAAATAATAATAAATACATACACTTACATGTGTGCTGTCAAAATCTCTACGCATGTAAATTGTTGGACATAAATGGACATATTACAAACAAATACTTGCACGTGTGCTGTTGTTTATAAAAATACTATGACAAATTTTTTTGGGATTGTCGACAAAAGAGACCCTTTATCTTTTATACATGGAGGTCACAATCATTCCCACTCATTAGATGTCAAATTGGATGCTTTGGGGTGAGTTATTAAGTGCGAGAATTTTTCTTTTGGAACTTTGTATCTATTCAATGACATCCTTACAACCACCCATTTCAAAAATTAAGGGACAAGAATGATTGTGACCTCTATGTACAAAAGATAAATGGTATCTTTGTAGACAATCCCAATTTTTTAAGGCAGTTGTTTATAAAAATATTAATAAGAAATATTTACATATATGCGGTCCAAGATACTATGACTTAACGTGTTGCATCCCTCCTAGGCGATCTCCTGGCCACCTACAACTGCCTAGGTGGGCACCTCCGCATTTTGGAACCTTCTGTAGAGCAAATCCTAGAAGGTGATTCTAGGTAAATTTTCAGGTATGTGATCTTGCTGATTTTTCCAATTTTTGGAGCACCTAGTTAGCATCATGGCAGCAACACACTTAGGGCAGATCTTGTTCTTCATTTGTGTTTTTGAGTCTGGTTTTACTGTGCAAAATTTCAATGAGAGACATGTAAGACCAGGGAGTTACAACGGTATTAATGAAAGGTGCTCAATGCAGTTGTCCTGAAAATTTAAAAAAAAAATAGCACCTTGTAGCACCCGGCCATAGCCTTCCAGAGAGGGAGTGTATGACACCACAGCTAGGTTGAAAGCTCTACTCTCTAGAGTGAAGATCATATCCCAATGTACATTTGTGGGGGCTGCCTCAAGGTCATCAAGTGGAAAAAGAAGGAAGCTTCACAACCTTGGAGAGTGGCCCCTTTCATGGGAGACGACAGGAGCTGTGAGGGAACACAGCCACTTATTTCTTCATACTGGTAAGGATGAGAATGAGATGGTTGATAAATTGGCAAAGGAGGCACTCCGCCCCCCACCCCCAATGTGTTAAGACAACATTTTTCATAACCTCTTGTTTCTTTTGTCCTGCTTGTATTTTACCCTTTTAATAAAAGCAGCATATCTTAAGGGCAAAAAAGAAAGAATAAAAAGAATTGCAACAATGTTTTCTCTTGACACAAAGGTACCGATAGAGAGAACATTGAGAATACTTGCAGCACAAGGAATGCTGGGCCATGTTGCTTACATCCTAAGGGAGTGTTATATCCCTCAAGATTGCCATTGAAACACTATTTAATTTTCTTTTTCACCCAATGCATGTCAATCAAAATTCAAGGTAACTGCAGAACTAACATCCTTGTCAGCCAATAGGGGATCAAGATACGGACGAGGAGGTGCCGGATTCTCGACTAAGTAAGCTAGGCTATAGTATTTGTGTAGTTTGTCTTTCAATAGCTGCTCCTTTATCACCAACAAAAAAATTTGTTAACCAGAAGAAAAGGCACAAGAACAAAAGAAGTAAAATATGATCAAAGCCAAAGAGCTGCCAAGGTGACAATCAGTGACCCATGATCACAACTTTGAGTTCAATACCCATCCAGCCCACTATTAGTGTTTTTTTTTTTTTTGAAGGAATATGTTGCTTGTAGTATATTAAGACAGCCCACAGGGTGCTCTACATCATAATGTCTACCAACAAATGGGAGAGTTGTGTACAAGGTCAATTAATATAAATGAGGGGGCTGATGGAGATGAGAGCAAACAAAAGCTGCACAGTCCCACAAATAACAAAAAAAGGGGATCTGTCACACCATGTATATGGCATCTTCAGTTACTTCACTTGGTTTCTCTTATACCTTGTATTCTTCTTATTACTATTTATTTTAAGAAAATCCCTCTATATTGCCTCCAGCTCCTCAACCATACCAGCAATAATCTAGCGACTTTCTTAATTGAAATAAATCATGATTTACTTCGCTGGGTAGCTGTTATTCCCTGTATTCTTCATATTATAATGTATTTAACAGCATCCCTTAACATTCACTCTAGCTCCTCAGCTACAACAGCAATAATCTGGAAGACTAACATGATGAATATGAGAACACTACATAGGGTAGACCAAATAACAGGGTCAACTAGAGAAACGAAGTAGCTTTTAATGCGGCCAGCCTCCTCTCTTACATTCCGAATGACAGCCCCACTGATGCACCCGAAGTGTTTCCTTTGCATCCGAATCTCAGATGTCAGGCCAAGAGATCTACCAACTAATCTGAAACTTCAATGTTTATAATGGAACTTTCCTCTGGTCCCAAACAAACTCAAACCATTTGATAACTACCCACAAATTCTCAGCTATTGACCATTAGCTTCTAAGGAATAGAACAAATCCACATATATGCAATAACATGAGTTAACATGAAGTAACTATGTATGCATAAACATGTTGATGATGGATGACCATGCACAAGCATAACTACCTATGGATGAGTATCATCTACACCAATGTTCTAAAAAATGGCAGGCAGTGCCTAGGTGGCCACCCAGGGTGGAATAAAAAGCATAGGAGAGTCTGTGATCCAATTGTTTTAGGGCCAAATTCTGTGTAAAACAAAGAAATGCATATTGCATATAGAGGCAAGTAACACATTAAGAATACATAGCATATAGTTCATCCATAGTCCATTACTTCATAATCCATACATTTCAGACCATTAGTCCATACTCCATACCATAGACCATACTCCAAAGACTCCATCCACACAATAAACATAGGAAAATATAATCCAACATTCAAAATTTTGGAATTCAATCATCAATTCATCATCAAGAAAAGGAAAGAAATAACACATATAACATATCAAATATCCATAGTCCACACACACCTCCATAATCCATAACCATAGTCCATACATAAACATAAGAGGAGGAAAAGAAAATGAAAAGAAATATAGACTTGAAGACCGCATCATATGCATCGGTATCGAGCCCATCATCGGAATCATCTCCCTCCTCAACATAATGGTGATCCTCCTCTGTCTCTTCTGCATCTACCTCTGCTTCCTCCTCTTCCACCACCACCCTTGCCCTATGTGAAGAAGAAAGAGTGGCCCTAGGAGGCTTGGCTGCTAACCATGAGGCCTCCATGACCATATATGATGTCAATCCTTTATGCCCCTCGACCTCATCATCAACCAACCACTCCATGGCATTATCCATATCTTTTGATCTGAGGGAGTCTCTCTTATCTCTCTTAGCAAATTTCTCCTTCAAATACCAATTGTACTTCACATAAACTAGGTTATTAAGCCTCTTTGATTCAAGCCCATTTCTTTTCTTTGTATGAATCTAATAAAATCAAATGAAACTAATTAATATTTCAAATTTACAAGAGACAGTAATTAGAAATTACTAACTAGTAACTACTTACCCAAAAAAAAAAACCCTATCTACTAATACAAATTAGACTAATTAGTAAACTGTAAACTAATAAACTAAATTACCATCTCAAAAGTACTCCAATTCCGCTTATAGCCGAACAAGGTAATGGTTAGGCTCAAGATCTGAATGGCCAACTTTTGTAAGTTTGGAGTACTACACCCATGTTGGTTGGATCCACCAATTGGCTGCAAATTGATTATGAATTACGATTATATATGAAAATACAAACAACAAACATGAAACTTGAAGTTGAGGACTGGATTAAGTATATTATTACTTGGATCAATTTTGGTCGTTTGTCTCACTGCTATTGGACTCCCAAAAGACTTCAATGTGCACTTGTAACTTATTAGCCCATCAGCGGCATATAATGTCTTGGATATCTTAATTAAGGACTAGCACATCCAGACACTTCTTAAAACTAGTCATCGATAATCTTCCAAACTGCCTCATAGCGGCTCACATCATTATCCAAATTATGGGCTATCTCTCTTTCGCAACATTCCATTGCCTCGTATATGTAGCCCATGGAGGGCATGCGAAGGACTTCGACAAGAGGAAAAAATACCTTAAGAGCGCCCTTCACCCCTCGCCAAAAATCCTTTGATAAAATAATATCTCTCACCTTCTTTCCCTTTTGATCCCTGACCCACTTGCATGCTCTCCAATTATCAAAGGTGAACATCTGCCTCAACTGGACTCTCCTCGAATGTGTGCTATGTAGACATAGGTACCAAGTAGCAAACCTCGTGACCCCCAGCCTCACTATCTGCTCCTCTTTGTAAAAGGGTGAGGGTGAGGGTGAGGGTGAGGATGGGGGTGTGGCTCTATATGAAATCTGTAATTGAATTAGCCTTCCTAAACCAGCAATCTCGCTCAAACCTCCAATAGCCTCAAGCATGAGGTCTATACAGTGTGTTGTTCATGGTGTCCAAAAGATATGAGGGTAGGCTATGCGCAACAAATTAGCAGCATCATTATCTATGACAACCTGTCTAACATACTCCATCGCTTTAAATATGTCATGGGCTTCATGGCTATCATAAGAGGCATCAATAGACCTCAAGAAATAGTCCCTAAAGGACAATTCACCAACAAATTCATCTTACTTCTTCTTTTTTTTCACTCCAAATATCAAACATAATAGATACCCCATTCTGAGCCCATGCATGCTTCTGTGACTCCACAATCTCCCTCATAACATTCACCTTGTTTTTCAAAAGAGGCTCTGATAGCTTATATGGGGTTGGGGGCTTCAACCCACGCCCAAATTGGCTAAATACCTCTACCACGGTGTAAAAGCTACTTAGACAAGCGGCATTGAAAGGAATGTTTGCATCATAAAACCACCTAACAATGTACTGAATAGTTCTCTCTCTCTCTAT